TACAAGTTATGCGATTAAATGCCAATAAACCTTCTGGTTGTCTAAATTTCTATCGTCTTAATAGCCTTCTTTCTCCATTTTCCAAATTATTTGAAAAAAATCTTCATCCTCTAAATTCTCTTGACATATTGAAAGCTATTCTAAATCAACAGTTCGGCTTCAGAAAATGTTCATCAGAACAACAATGTCATCGATTAGTATATTACAGTTCTTCAGAGCCAAAAATTATTGACCTGACTTTTTCCTTAACATTAGTCAAGCTTTTGATATGATGTGCCATGAAGAATTGCTTTCCAAAATCAATATTATATTTCACTCGACTAACTTTTAAGTATTACTTTCTTACTCAACCTTTATTTATTTATTTATTGAAGCCTTTCAGTGCCGTTGAGGCAATACGATTTTGCAGAAACGAGTGTTACGCGTTAATGACTCCACCATTACGCACAACTTCCTACTCCTGCATGAAACTCAAATCAGCTTGCTGTTTGCTATCATCTGTGTGCTCTTGTGTTACTTGTCCCGCTCCTCCTCCTCGTCCCGGTTGCCTTACAAGAGCTGTTCTTTTTCTTAAGAAGTTAAAATGTACTGGACCTATTGTTTCTTTATGAATAATTGAGCATTACAAGTTATCATTTTTACCTATTGCATTACCTACTGTCGAGTAACAGCAAAACAAAATTATAAACATCATGATCTCATTAAAAAGAGCGTGAATTAATCTTCAAATGGATTTCTGGAGAAAACCAGATTATCAGACCGCTGCCTTTCCTCATTCATAATAGTATCTACTATTTTATTTATTTAAAAAAAATTATCAAGTATCACAAATATTATTGAAAATATTTGTAGTGCAATAAGAATAATCCTTTATGACAGCGTTCCCTATTGCGTCGAAAATGATTTCAGGAAAAAAAATTAAAGATAATAATTCTCTTAATCATTTTAGATTTAAGTTATTCACTTACCTACATGATTGTTAGATTGGGGTTTTACCCATATGTAGGGTTTGTTCTAGCTTTTAGTTTTATTGTTTTTAGAATATAAACATTTGTTTAGGTTTTTCTCTAGATTGAATTATATTAACGTAAAAACATTGAATAAAGTTATTAAATTGAGTGTTTTTATTATTACCGTTGAACAAACCTTTTTTATTATCCCTTCCCTACACAAGATGTCTCATTTATTAATGGCCAAACTTAGGAGAGTGATTTTAGGCAAAATTTACAACAAAAAAGTTCATTTGATGCATGGACCGATTTCGAACAAAAAAGGAGTGAGAACCAATTTTGTGTGATTACGTTTTTTATTGAATAAAAATGGATTTCTCAATAATTATTCAAGATAATTAAACTATAAATACACCATCGTAAATTAGACAATATTTTTTTAAAGAAAACAGTGATTACATTTACTAAAGTCGATGATGAGATTTCCAGGAGGTCTAAAATGGCTGATGTACTACTGCAGTACCCATACACGAGCAGCATATATCAGTGTAGCGGCCGTATTTTAAATCCGAGTTTTCAACTAGAAAACACGTTTTGAGGTCACTTAAGTCCAAATAACCAAATATCTCAAAATATATTTGAAAATAAAAACCAAATTGTGCTATAACTTGTAGTGTTTTTATTTTTGATTTCACTTACCAATATATGAAATATATAGTAAGGAAGATATTGTGATCGTGAAATATTTCAAATCTGAGTTTTCAACGGAAATGCACGTTTTGAGGTCCTCTGAGTCCAAATTACCAATTATCGCAAAATGGTCGGTGCGTTAGCATGTGTTCATGCGAACAATCAACCACAAAACGAAACTTTTTACGAAACTGAAAATACATAGTTAAGTTAAGTATATGGCTAGGATATCACCGCAACTTTTTCCTCATAATCAGCTAACCGGAAGTGCCACATTAAAACATCATTTTTACAATTCGCTTAACAACGGCTCTAACGATTTTGATTAAATTCTGTGTATCAATGTATAATTAAGTGGTACTTATTATAATTTAGATCTTATCTCCCATTGATGTCGCTTAACAGGGCTTAAATGCCCAGTTCATATAGTTTAAAATTATATAAACTATATTTTAAAATAAACCTATAATTCGAGTTAATTAAATAATTAACCATTTCTCAATTTTAGTAGTTATAAAATAAGGCAAAATATAAATTTTGATAATATAATAAAAGAGAAAAAAGGAAAAATATTTATTTAGGCCGAAAATGAATCTCCTGCAATAATAGTCAGAAGGTATACTTTTAATATATCGTTGGAAAGCGCAGAATTAAAATATATATAATATAGAAAGAGTAGAAGGAATTAAGAAATTTCCTAAATTTTTTAACTAAATGAAAACATTAAAAATTATTTTGAATTTTGAAACAAGTATTTAAAACCCACTGAATTAAGTCAATGACATTGTTTAAAAAACTATTTCAATGTACTTGTGTAAAAGAAAAAGTGAAATATAAAAATATTTTATGGATGTGTAAAACAATTATTTATAACCTTAAATACATTTACTGTATTGTAGTTCAAGAATTCTAGATCCGATATTACGTTTAAATATTTAGGCATCCATCGTCCGTTTATTCCTAAAAAATCATCATGTAACCTTTTAGAAAATTAAATTAGTGAATAATTAGTGTGGAAACTTTTGATCTATCTGTGGTAGGCAATGAAAATCTTGTTACTTCATTTTAGTAAACTTTACAATGGAAAATAAGAGTCTAATAATTAATATTAATTTATCGGTTAAATATGCAAATGTACTTTCAAATCTCTCTTGGAATATATGGTTCAGAGACAGGAGTTTGCAAAAATAGTATGGTTTACAAAAACAGATGGAGATGTGATTCTTATTGCCTACCGTCAATATAATAAATAGGGTTTTTATTATTTTAATGGTCTTAATGATTTGTTAGCTGCAAGCTTTAAGATTTAGTTCCGTTAAAAATTCACTTCAAAAATGTAGTGATTCCCTAACATTGCCAGAAAATAATTTCTATTCAAAGTAAAGCGGTAAGTGAAAGTTGTATGTGATTCTCGCACCAGATTTTTACTATTTATTCTCATCCTATATAAGAGGGCTAATTTTGATTACAATGATGAAAAATAAGGATAAAGCATTGAGCATTGGCCAAGAAATTATACCAACATTACTACACTACTCTACCACTGACAAAAGAAGATCTGGTTGGCGTAGACCAAGTGTTATCACCAAACCATCTGTTGCCATTATCAAATCTATTACTCCACCTCAAATAATTGATTTATAAAAGCGTTTTAAGAACAGTCTTCCTTCATGGAAGGAACTGAATCCTGAAGGGGTACATTACTAAATTGATTTTAAGCTCTATTCTGATTGTTTAGCTTTTGCACCTTATCAAAATTTCGTTATAAATATTTATTTTACACATTCTGTAGTGAAAATATTTCTGTTTGTAGCACTACATTCATCTCTATTAATCGTTAAAATATAACAATAACAATTTTTGAAAAATATTAGATATATAATTGCGACGCAACTTATTACCGACATATACATCCATTCCATTCTTCAAGGACTTTTATAAAAGTCAATAATTCGAACAATTTTCGTCGTGTTGATTATTTTTCTGTAATATTGTTTTTTGTTTGATACCATTTGGGCGATAAAGTGTCTTAGTGCTAATTCCTCTATTTCCCAGTTATTTTAATATTATTTAAAATTAAAAATAAGTTAAATAAATAAGATTAAAAAAAGAGTGCTTTAGGCCATACTATAGAAGAGAAAAGATAACATCAACAAGGCGAGATTGATAATATGAAATATAAATAATAAATAATAGCTTATTATAAAGAAGATGAAATGCTGAACATTTCCCAGCCTTACTGTACACAGGAGTGGTTTTTAGTATCTGAAATATTTTAATCCATATGTTCAACTAAACTGTTTATCAATTGGTTTCGACACTAATTTTTCCTTTTCGCATCTATAACTCGGCGTCGCGTTAAGATACAATTTTGAATTATATTTGATAAAATATTACAGAAAGGATGAAATGCTGAACAATTTCTTCACTAACAGTATGCAGGTCCGATTTTTTTGTTTCTGAAATATTTTAATCCAAATGTAAAAACATTTAAATTAATCGACTCAAGCCGACTTTACCCGAGCGATAACACTTCGGAAATCTGACGGATATATCTAATTCACTCCCCACAAAAAATTACAGAACGCGCCTAAAGAAGTTTTTGATATAAAGGCAAATCATAATATGTCTATGCATCCGGAAGCAGAAGTAACAGATAGAACGATGAAACCTATATGTCATCTGGGTACCAACACAATCCCTGCTATGTGTTATGCAGATCACATAGATTGAAACCGACAAACACAGAATCAAATCAGTTTCTTATTTTTTTTTTTCAACCTCTCGCAAAAATACAAAGCTTCCCTATCTTTGGTTGAGTGAAGAAGAAAAAAGTAACAATATTACATAATAAAGATACATTTGAAGGTCTAAAAAAGATTTTAAACCACTTATCAAAAATTGGAGCAAATACAAGCTGAAATGATTTTCCCCCACTAATTCCTTCCACCCGTAAATGAAAGCGTCACGTTAAGGATAGTTTTCCTTGCTGAGGAAAATCGTCATCCGTGATACGCAGAGTACAGATTCGGTCAGTAATTTAACTCTTATTACCTGAAATGCTTTGCAGATGGTGACGACCATTTCAGGAACGCCATTATTTTCATAATAGGAAAATAAGAGTTTAATATCCTTCCCTATGACATGGAGAATAGCCGAAACCTTCCATGTCCTGTGATGAATTGCGATACTCAGTAACCAGGGAGTACTCATTGGGCTTCTAACCCTTAATTGACGGTAAGGAAGTATTTTCTCAAGTTACAGAAACTTTCTTAAAAACATTCTGCTTAGTCTTTTCTTCTCGATAACCCGAGGCCTAAAAGGCTCGAGAAGGCGCCTCTAATAGGATTTATCCTAGGGTTACCATACTTCTAAAGTAATCCAAATGAGGAGTAATCCTGAATCTTCTATCGATCTTGCTTCAAGATAGGTATCTTTCTCTACTTCCGCTCTCGATTTTATTGTTGCTTCTTGTAGACTAATGACAATAAGTCCTAAAGTAGTATTGATTGGGTTCTGGTACCTGCCATTATTTTCCTCTCGCACTATCCACCAACAAGATTGGCACAAATTCCTGCTGTTCCTTTCGGATCGGTTGGCTCTCCTATTGGACTCCGTCACTGTGACAAAATCAAAATTATTTTTTTCGAACTTAATGCGGCTGTTAATGATAGATATTCCCCGCCTAAGCACTATACCAAAGGTAGGAAACCTTATTATTATTAGAGGCCGTAGTAAGTTTAGGTAATTTTATGTATCTAATTTTATTTAGAACTAAGTACATATACTAATATTCAACTTAATTTTCGTAATCTCGTAAACTAATTATAATTTATTCTAGCGCAAGATTAATAAATATAGGGCAAAAATGTTTGGAGGCCGCAGGCTCCACATCTGTGTACTATACAGTCTGCCGTTTTATTTTTTACATCATCTAGGCTTTATATTATTTATTGGAAAGAAGGGGCTTGTTTTCTTGGAAGGAGAAAATAATACAATCAATCTTTTTGTGATTAACTGTAATATTTAGCCCTTCCGGTTTCTTTGTGATTTATTTTGCCCTCTTTGCGTTTAAAAAAATGGCGTATATCACAATATAATCGGTGTAAGAAATGTGTACTTATACCCGATAGGATCCCAGTGCTAGATTAGATTTGTGTATTAACGAACATATGTCTGTCATTTTGTGACATTAGTCAATCCGAAATCAAATTAAGTACCGTTAATTTTTTGTTTATTTTGTTCTATTCAATATTAAATAGTTGACCGTTGGATTATAAAGGAAGGAGATGGTCCGGGTTGGCTGTCATAAATAGGCTAAATAGAGGCAAAACTATTTTAGTAAAAGCCAACGTTTCGACCCGACTTTGCAGGTCTTCTTCAGGACTAGAACGGACAAGATACAAAAAGATATAGAGAATTGTGGAAGTTAGGTAATATTTACACAAAAAATTATAACCAATGTGAATAAGCTTATTCAAATTATAAACAGTAAGTACATTAAAATATAATCAGAATAAGCTAAGTAACAAGATCCTAAACTGAAGTAAATAGATGGTAACAATTGTTGTAGTGTAATATATAATATATGCAAATGTGAATATACTTCTAAAGATATACAGGAGAGATTGAAAGAAAAGGAAAAAGGATATAATATGAAATAATAGACATAAAGGAATGTGGATTATAATTATTCATATTTGTTTGCTCCCTATACTTCTAAATTAGTTCTGCAATGTATGGTCTCTTATTTCTATATTTATATTAGACTTCTATGTACGTTTTATTCTTCCATTTTTGTTTTTATTCACATTGTACTCTTATCTATAATCCCTTAATTCTATTTTATATGTGTATGTATATATTTATATTTTTTTATTTCATAGATATAGTATTTTTCACTTGTATCCATCCATATTACAAATTTTAGATACTGTAATTTTCTATGTTTTTCCTATTACCTAAACAGGTCAGGAAATTCTCCAATACCTACCCTTACCCTGATTTTCCAGTTCTATGTGAAACTCCTAGATGGACACACCTGTAAGTATCTGTTTTTATTCTTCTAATGTTAATCCAAACCATTGCTCCTGCAATTGAACTGCGGAATCCCAATTTTTAGCACCGATGGTATTGGACTTCCCGCGTTGTTTAATGTTATTAAGGAGGTTTTGTCAAACAAATCTTTATTTATTTATTTGAAATACTACTTGCTTTTTTTTTTTTGCTTTTTTTTTAAATATGGTCCAAAGTCGCATATTATCTTGGAATAACCTATTAATAAATAATTAAAAATAAAATCTATGAAACAATTTCAATAGATTATATTATGGAAGTACAATAGATACTTTCTAAGAAAGATGTGCTTAGTGAAACAACTAGCAATTTCAAGATAAGGCTGCTTCAGATTCTCAGAAGTCATCTAAATGATGAAAACAAAATTCATGCCATTAATACATGGGCGATATCATTGGTAGCATACAGTTTTGTTGTCATGAAATGGTCAACTATTAAACTTCAAGAAATGGACTGCCTGGTGCGTTCAGTGATGACAGATGCTAAAATTCATCACTCAAAGACATTCATGGCAAGACTCTATTTGCCAAGAAAAGAAGGAGGCAAGACTCTTGTGGAATACAAGAAATCTCTCTAAAGGAATACTTTATGACAAATGCGTCTCAAATTCAACCTGGATGAAAGAATTAAACGAAGTTTGTAACTTTACCCTTTGTAAACTTACCCTTAATTTTGGCAATCCAATTTGACCTGAAAAAGAGAGAAATGTCGACTATTACAAAACCATATGGAAGGAGAAGGAATTACATGGCAGATTTTATCACCAATTCACGGACCGGGGATTGTTTATGAGTTCTCAGTTGAACGGTTAAAGACAGGGCATATACCTGGCGAGACCGAAAGGTTTTTTCTAGCTGTTCAGAATCAGGTTATCACAACCAGGGCTGATAAGAAACATATATTGCAATATCCCTTATGTTTTTTAACTAATAATATAATCTCAGAAGATCACTTCATACTGTAGCAATACTTCCAAAGTAAATGAGAGATTGTTAAATAATAAACAAAATTATAATAATATTGATTTATTAACCTGAAATTTATAATTATTTTATCTCAAGGTATGGTTTATTGACAATCATATCAAAAGACTCAGACAGTCTCACATTAACTAAACTAAACGCTATTTGATTTTAAATAACGTCAAGTATGAATTGGCAAGCTAACTTTTTTCTATAAACACTGTTTCTTCCTTTGTGTCACTCAATTCATTTGTCTTCAAACACTTTCCAATACTCTACCAAATACACCTTCCAGAATGGTGACACTTTCATCTACTCAACTCAAGCTCCCTAGGAGATCCTCACTCTAGTAATTTCAAACAACTTGTGTCCCTGCCAAAAAACTGGGTGAGGGCACTGAATTTAAATTCCACTCCGGCACCAGGACATGAACTTCGGTTATCTGGTTGCCGGGGAACTCACGATGCTGTGCACACGCGTTTGCCCATTCAACCACCCCGCCCTTGCCAAAAAACCAACTGCTTGCCAGAACAAAAATCGTATGTCCCTCCCCTCTTTGGCCTTTTTTGGGGGGGAGAAGCTACAGAGCAGTCATTCTCTTTTTCCTAAACTAGTGAAACTATTCAAATTTAAACATCCCCTGACATTAGCAGAACTTTTTTTTCTCCCTACCGTTCCATTTCTGGCATGGGATTCAGTGACAGTAGGGTAGTGAGCATGGGATTTGCGCTTGCTACAGCCACCAATAAACTCTATTTATTTAATTTACTCATCTTTATTTATTACTTTGACTTTTACATGCTTATACCACACTTTATTTATGCAATAAAATGTTAGGTAACATGTGGTGCAGCTCAGCGTGTGGTTTTTTATGGTTTGTCTAGCTGGACCCTCCCCCCTGCCACCTCCCACCGTCTTTTTTTTGTTAACCCTTCCTGGCATTTTTGCCATATGGGGTGTTAACAGTGCGTTGACACGTTGGGGTATTTACCACTACTGCTGCCAATATTCTTTATACTAATGCTATTTATTTTATTTTATTGTCACTGCGGTGCGGTGACAATAAAATAAAATAATTTTGCATCGCATAACGGTGCACGGGTGTGCGCCTTACTGTTGGGACCGCACCTTAGTCTCCAGCTGGTTGCTTATCTTGGCCTCTTGGGTAGTTTCCTCCAACAGTCCCTATTGAGAAGTGTGTAGGTTCCACCTTTCGCCTCCATTTTCCCACGAACTCTACGAAGTGGGGGTATTTATCTTCCTCCATCAGTCGAGGAAGATAATCTTTGTCTAGGGTGTACAATCCCGTCCTCGGCATCAATATGCCTCTGGCTTGCTCCATCGCGGTGCATGATATAACCACGTGCTCAGCCGTATCAGAGGCACCGCAGTCGGGACATGAGGGATCGATGTTCTTCCCATGCTTCCTGAGTTTGTCTCTAAATCCCCCATGTCCCGTCAGGATCTGTGAGGTCCAGTAGTCCGGCTCGACCCAATGAGCTTCCAATCTGGAATGAACGGTGGGGAAGTATTTTCTCAAGGTGGCTCCATTCTCACTTGCAATCCACCGCCCATTCCACTCCTCTATTGTCGCCTCTCGGACTATGCCACTCCATCTTCCTGGATCCTCACGGAGCCTCCGTTTAAGCCCCTCTGGGAGTGCCTCCAGTCCCTGCCTCTTTAGGTCATTCCTCCAAGCGTCCTCATGAAGGACGAGGTCCAGAGGCAACTCCCCGGCTAGCACTTGCATCGCTTCGTGGGTCACAGTTCTGTAAGTCCTAGTCGTCCTCATCAGGGCGAGCCTTTGGATGGTGGCCATCTTCTTTTTCTGCACCTGATTCAGGCGACGGCTCCACGCTGGGGATGCATTCCTCAGTATACCCAGCACAACTCCCTTATAGATGATTCTTTTCGCTGGGTATCTGAGGTCCCAAAAAGCGCCCCTTCCACCTACCCGTGCAAGGCCATTTAGGGACAGGGCCACTCTACTCCGTAGGTACTCTATATTAAATCTCACGCCTAAGTAGGTGATCTCGTCACCTAGGCGGACTCTATCTCCTCCTACTCTGAGACTAATAGGGTGGGACCCTATTATCCTGTCCGTAGAACCCTTCAACAGTATGGCCTGGGTCTTTGCCGCCGCCATCTTCATTTTCTTCGTTGCACACCATTCTTCTTCTGCATCTTTCTCCTTCCGCCACCAATCTTGCTATTCGCTGCTATTATGGCAGCCAGGTCATCAACGTAGGCAATGGCACCGAAGCCCGCTGCCTCCAATTCCCCCCAGCAACTGGTCAAATACTAACTTCCACAGAGCCGTGCCCAGGACTGAGCCTTGTGGACATCCTCTTTCTATTTTCTGCTCTACCTCATAGAAGGTACCCCGTATCCTAGCTTTCCTATCGCTGAGGTACCCCCTAATGAGGGAGTACAAGTTGGTGGAGGCGTCGAACTGTTGGAGGTGCTGGAGTACGTAGGGCTACCATACGCTATCAAAGGCGGAAGATATGTCGAAGAGGACCATCATGACATATTTCTCCGCCTTGTCATCAACCTCCCTGCGTAATCTCGTTAGGGCATCTGCGGTGCAGCGCCCCTTCGTGGGTCCGTATTGCCTCGGGTGACTCGCTGCCAGCAGGACTGGAGCCAGACTCTTTATAATGAGGTGCTTCAGGGCCTTGCTCATTCCAGGGAGGAGGCATATGGGTCTGTAGGTTTTTGCTAGCTGCTTGTCCTTGCCTCCCCCCTTGAATAGTAGTCTCATGTAGGCGATCTTCCATTGAGTTGGGAAGTGCCCTCTATCCAAGCATTCATTATCTCAAGTAATTCTTCTTCAATATAGGGAGCACTCTTCTTTAAGATCGCCGCATCGATGGTGTCGAGTCCCGCAGCTCTTCCTAACCTTTGTCTGTCTATTGCCATCCGCAGGTCCCACACGTCCCATGGTGGAATGAACTCCGTGCCAGGCAGATACTCCGTAGTTTGCCTCAGAACCTCATCCTCTTCGTTGTCCTGGGACGGGTCATCCCGTATATTGTTTGTCCTTGGGAGCTCCTTTCACCTCTAATTTGGACCTCTTAGTCCTGGCCAACCTAGCTACTAGACCTTTCTCTCCTATAGTCTTCCACTTTATGAGTTTCATGGCCTGGTTAGACAACTTGGTTTTGACCAGAACGGCCTTGCCAGCATGAGTGACTTTCACTCTTTCCACCTGGACGCCTGCCCCTGTGAGCTCCTGTTCGCTCGGGAGCTGCTTCCATATCTCTGTAGGGTTCCAGTCGTCTACAGCACCTTTAATGGTTACATAAGCAGGAGCCTCGTTCGACCCGCCTACTGTCCCGCTGGTGCTTACGTTTTTAAGCATATCCGATTAACTCCATTGCTTGCTTACCTCCTTCTGAGATTCCATGGTCTTCTCCTTGTTTGCCTTCCTCGTGGCTTTTTTTCTCTCCTTGCATGGGATGATGAAATCCTGCTGGTCATCCGCCCTCAAACCCTCCCTCACATCTATTAAATCCTTCTTCTGCAATTCGATGTTCGTTCCAGGAAGTAACTTCTCTTCCTCCGAGTCGACATCAGATGTGACAAGGTTCCTTCCCCTGGCAATCCTGATATTCTTAATTCTGTGGGCCATGGGGAGCGGCATACATCTTGTCACCGGCGTACTCTTTTCTGTACCTCTCACGTCATCTCCTTTCCCTTTATTCATTGCATCACCTTGTTTTATTTCCTGTTCGTTTTCCTCCTTCGCTTTTAGGATGTCCACCGAGATGTGAATGTCTTTCAATCTCTTCTATAAATTTGGTAACAGCCTCCATCCCAACAATTATGTTTGTCAATTCTCTTATTTGGGCATTGATGTGTTTTTGTCTGTCTTTTGTCAGATTTGTCTTGCCTAGCTATTCTTTTAGTCTATCCTGAATATCCTCCGCCTTTTTAATAGGACATTTTCCTTCTTTTCCCACCTTTTTCTGAAGGCATTTCTCTCGCCTATCTTCCTCGATGACTCTACCCTCTTCCTTCTGTCGGGGGGCCTCCACAACTAACTCCTTCATGGCTGACTCGATCTCATCAGTCTCCCCGGGCCTCTCGACTCCTTTACTTGTTTGTTCCTTTTCCATTTTGAGGTGATCACTAAACACCAGTGTATTAACCTAACAAGGTTAACTATTTAATTAGTTTGGAATAATTTTAAAATAATATAATAAAATAAAATAATATAATATTACCTATTATTCTACAGACTACTAATTCTTTGTTAGTATGAACTATTTTAAAATTGAAACTAACAATTGCATTATCTTAAATCGAATATAATGGGATATAATAAACTAATAACATATAGAATAAACTACTAACACATTATATATATATATATATATATATATATATATATATATATATATATATATATATATACAAGGTATACTTGTAAATGAATGATGAATGATAAATATTTTTTTTATTAAAACACTTTATTCAGAAATATTACAATTTGTCACAGTTAAGGACACTTATAATAGAATTCAGAGATTGCATTCATACCGTATATACAAAAATATAAATAAATAAAGTAATAACAAAAGAATAAGAAGAAAGAACAAAAGAGTAAAGAAAAAAAAAATATATATATACACATAAGTAAATAAAAATAGAAATAAAAGTAAAACAAACACCTTATATAAAACATACATTATTTACAATTTGCCAGGTGATCTCCGAACCAATCCTGTCCCCTCCACATGTGGAGGGAAAAGGGAGGCTTAGGAGATCCCTACGCCTCTCCCTCAGCCACTTCACTGGTATTTTAAACCAGCGGAGGATGAGTAAGAGCGCTACAGCCACAGACACTCATGACTTGAGTGGAGAAGAATGATAAATATAAAGGTATAAATAAACTCAGTGAGTACAAACCATAGATATGAAACAATATAAAAGATAAAAATCAATATAAAGGGTAAGAAATAAATATAAATAGATGTGTTGATGTTTAAATTGAAATTAACAATTGCATTATCTTAAATCGAATATAATAGAATATAATGAACTAATAGCATATAGAATAAACTAATAACACATTATATATATATATATATATACAAGATATACTTGTAATGAAAGATAGATATGAAACAATATAAAAGATAAAAATCAATATATCAATCAACATTGTGGGCTCATTTCCCATTCCACAATATGGCACCTGAATTGCTTGCCAGTGTTCTCTTATTTTGAACATTGGCTTCCTCCATACCATGCTCCGTCATGGCTAGTGTTGCTGCCAGCAGCCCCAAGGCTACTCTCTTTTGGACTCCCTCGAGAAATTCCTCATCCATGAGCTGCCTCGCCAGTGTCCTTAGAGACTCTGTGTTATCCCCTTTATACTCCCTGAGAAGACGTTCCACTTGCTCTTTCTCCGTCTCAATCATGTTCAGCCTCAAGACAGTGTCCCTCGCAACCTTGCGAGTTCTATAAAGATGCCCCTTATCTCACATTGTGTAGGTATCTCTATTTTTCCCCTGCTCAAGATACTTTCAATTCTCACTCTGGCTCCAATCGCCTCTCTCATCACCATATCCACATTAAGGGAGATAGCTTTTTTCTTCTGTTTTGCCAGGTGTGAAGCCTCGGAGACATCTTCCGCCTATGATCTTTTTGCCCCAGGGACATCCTCTGGTATCCCAGGGGACATCATCCTCTTGGACCCTTTAGGCCCCTGGCTCTCATATATAATTAACTTATATTTAACTAGCATATGGAGTATTAAAAGAATCATTTCTACCAACAGTAGAATAATAGTGTGCCCTTTGCCAGATTATATCATTGAACATTTTCTTCAAATATTTTTCATTACATTTTCTTTAATTCTTTTAATTACTTTTGTAATATATTATATTAATAAATAATATATATTCCACATATCTTGTCAGTTTATTGCAGAAACCCAGTAAGTAGTAATTAATAAAATTAAATCACTAAGTACTTTGATGTATTTTCTCTTTATGAAACATTGTGCATAATAGAATTTTTATTATTTTAATGGGCTTGATGAATTCATGCATTGACAAATACGATTGAAATTTTTAATTATGTGCTTAAAACTCCAACTCCAATAAAAGTTTACTTATTGGCTTTTTGCAATAAACAGGCAATAGATTTATTATAGACAACTTGGTTGTTGCAACATTATCTCTTAGTTATCCATTCTTTAATTTGTTGAATATTTTTCTATAATACATTTTAATGAAGATAGATATATTTTTTTTATATCTTAGTCGTAATTGTATTCGTAATTGAATATTTTTATTTAAATACAATATCATTTATTATTGCTATAAAATTATTTATTAGGTATTCTTCAGTAACATTTTCGAAATTACTTTTCTCGCTTTTACGAAATTTTTGTAATATATAATTGGTTTTTGAATCCTTTTAATAATGTTTATATTTGTGTGTGTATTCATTAAATCTATTTTATTACATATATACATTAAATATGTATGAATTTTATATTATTAGTAAATATCTTAATTTTAATATCAATGCAAAAGCATTGTTATTGTTATAGCTTTTTTTCGTAGGGATTGTTCACTCAGCATAATTAATTGAACTACTTAATTGTATAACTAAAAAAAAAATATGCATTTTTCCTTTGTTTGCAATTGGACATATTATATTCAGGGATGCATTTAAAGTGTTTTTCTGTTCCAAGTTTTGTAATCATAAACTATTTTGGACACAATTGTGGGGTAATGTTTCTGTTAATAGCTTAATATGCTTTTATTAACATATAAAGCTGTAGTTATTTACTTTTAGCGTAATTTCTTTCATTCACTGTACTTTTATATTGATAATTATTCTTCCCTCCTATGTCATTTTATATTGATAGTTATTGAATCCATTTAACTATTTTCTTTTATATATTTCCTAAAATTTATTTTTAAAATTTCAATTGTAAATTATCAAATTTTAATATTATTAGCACATAAAATTCTTAAATATAGATTTTTCATTTTAAGAATATATTTGACATATATTACTTTATAATTTTATAATATAATTCAAAATATTTGTACATTTTGTAAAACTGGAATCATTATTTTTATAAAAATTAATAGAAAAATAAAATTATCTGATTACAGATTATTTTGGTATGAACAACTTTTTCAAAAAATATTTTATTTAATTTTCTTGACCCTACTATGCCTCTTAGTTTTTAGAACCATTGTAATTTAAGTGTATTAAACTACTTATTTTATAAAATGAAATTCATGATTTTTACTTTAAAGTATAACACTATATGTTAGATTGGAGAATATATTCTTTTCCTGTAGATGTTCTGTATGGAAGAGATAAAAAGTGTTTAAGTATTTACTTACTATTATCAAATATTTATTTTTTAACTACTAATAAATTATATTAAAGGTTGATTTTTTTTATTTAATGACCATTTCTCATGATTTTCAACCAAACAGTAATGGCTGCTTATTTTGTTTAATGATATTACGACTTTTACTGAAGCTTATAGCAGGAATTAATAACTGTTTAGAAGATAAATAAAATCTGTTTACTTATTTACATTCTATTTGTTATATAATTTAATTATTTACACATTTTGCATTCTTGAACATAGCCATCTTATTTATTTGAAAAGACTCTTTATAACATCTAAAGAATTTGAATAACCATTCAAATTAAATTTGATCAACCATTTCAAATAAACAATAAAAGTAAGGTGAGAATTAAATGATTTATAAAATTATTACTTACAATTTATTTGATTATAAATATTTTGTACAAAAAATAAATAATTTGTATTTAAAAAGTGCCTTTCATCATTTATATTTTATTTGAAAGGATTAGTTCAAATGATGTTGGTAATTTGGTTTTGTCCTCTTCACGACAGCATTGAAACCATTATGTGGATCTGCAGTGTACTCCACTGTCCGCACCGATCCGTCTGGTTCAACCAGGCTGTATTCACCTTTTACAACACCTCCGTCTCGAGTTTCCCATTGACTTTTAGTATCTCCGGTGTGTATATCACTTATTGCATAGTCAAAAGCATATTTAGGATCAGGCTGAAAAGAACAAAAATAGTAAAGTATCTTACTGTTTATTTGATTCACGAAATAAAGTTAGTTATATTTGATATTTATTTTGCTGGATAATTTCATCATCATAAAGATCAAACATTTTTTTATAGGTGAAACGATTGCATGTTCAATTATTTTTTAAAAGCTAACAGACAATACAAACAGTGTATGGGTGTGATTCTACTGAAATTGACCTTTTTTTTTTTTCTCATCCATTAATGTTTTGTAGAGCTTCACTCAGTTGAGTGGCAAAATATCTGTAATCTGTCATGTAAGAGTCAAATTGTCATTTATCATGTTTGTTAACAGTATTACAGAACATGTCTGCAGATCAAAATTATTTTATTTTGTTTTAGATTCAAATATTTGCAGCTGGTAGTAATCCAAATGAGAACTTGAAATCATTTGGCACCCCATGTTTTCTTCTCAAACTACTTCACAACGAGGTGTAGAGAATATTCCCAGTAAGGATTGCTATCACTTGTTGGTTTATTTATATTAATTGCACATTTTCTCTAATAAATTAAGTTTGTACAAATCCAGCGAATATTTGTAGCAGTTTTATGTTTTTATTAGTTGTCATTCATCTGGTCATGTTCTTGAAATACAGAAAAGCAATAAATATGTAATTTTTCTGTAGCTTTTGATCTAATTACCAGAGTGTGTTTTGTTTTTTTCATAAGGCATCTTCCCTTCAAATGCTACTTCAGTAAAAAATGTCATTTTTTTCCTCTGGATATAAAAAATATTTTGTAATCAGATAAATGACAAATGTTTAAGAAATAATGTCATGCATGTGGATGATAGATCATTTATATAAATGCTCCAACGTTATCGTTTCCATTGGGTATCGTGCAAATCTAATAGGAGCTCTTGTCTGTAATAGACTTTTTCAAGCATCATAGTCTCTTGAGAAAAATGATTAAAACTGTGTTTGTTTTTTAAAAAAGGTATATTTTCCATTTTTTTTCTTTCTTTTTTTTGTCAACGTTTCGGACTCCTGGCCCATCTTAAAAGACTTTTTT